AATATGATATAATTCTTCTACAACAATGCAATATACATTATGTAAACACTGTTACCACCATGAAAAAAAAAATTAAAATATCCCGTTTGATACATTTCATACTTGTGTGTTCGATGAGCACACCTTCATTTTCGGGTGGGACTCGAACCCACAACCTCCTGCTCACTAGTGCAGACATCTCAACCACTTCACCACCAAGTCATACATGTATGTGGCTTTCCTAATACGATAAACTATGGAAGTATTCTACTATTTGAGAGCTAGTAAAAAAAAGAAGTAAAAAACTTGCTCCAGTGGGAGTCGAACCCACAACCTCCTGCTCACTAGTGCAGACATCTCCACTTCACTTACCACCAAGCCATACACAGCTCTACTTACAACAAAACGTGGAAGTGTTCTGCTGTTTGAGAGCTTGAGAAACAAATCAAAACCTACTCGGGTGGGATTCGAACCGACAACCTTTTGTTTACTAGTGCAGATGTCTGAATCACTTAATCACCAAGCCATACAGAGCTCTGAAGATAAAATATGGAAGTATTCTGCTGTTTTAGAGCCTGTTTCAAACAATTCACAAGTTTGCCTTGGTGGGATTCGAACCCCCAACCTTTGGTTTACTAAGTGCAGATGTCCTAATCATTCAACCACCAAGCCATGTACAGCTCTCCTTATGATAAAATATGGAAGTATTCTGCTGTTTTAGAGCCTGTTTCAAACAATTCACAAGTTTGCCTTGGTGGGATTCGAACCCCCAACCTTTGGTTTACTAAGTGCAGATGTCCTAATCATTCAACCACCAAGCCATGTACAGCTCTCCTTATGATAAAATATGGAGGTATTCTGCTGTTTTAGAGCCTGTTTCAAACAATTCACAAGCTTGCCTTGGTGGGATTCGTACCCCCAACCTTTGGTTTACTAGTGCAGATGTCCTAATCACTCAACCACCCAGCTATACACAGCTCTCCTTATGATAAAATATGAAAGTATTCTGCTTTTTTATAGCTTCTGTGAACAAAAATTCACAAGCTTGCTTTGGTGGGACTTGAACCCACAACCTTTGGTTTACTAGTGCAGATGTCTGAATCACTTAACCACCAAGCCATACAGAGCTCTTAAGATAAAATATGGAAGTTTTCTGCTGTTTTAGAGCTTCTGTGAAACAGTTCACTAGCTTCCCTTGGTGAGACTCAAACCCACAACCTTTGCTTTACTAGTGCAGATGTCCTAATCACTCAACCACCAAGCCATATACAGCTCTCCTTATGATAAAATATGGAAGTATTCTGCTGTTTTAGAACTGTTTCAAACAATTCACAAGCTTGCCTTGGTGGGATTCGAACTCTAACCTTTGGTTTACTAGTGCAGATGTCATAATCACTCAACCACCAAGCTATACACAGCTCTCCTTATAATGAAATATGAACGCATATTCTACTGTTTTAGAGCTTGTTTCAAACAATTCACAAGCTTGCCTTGGTGGGATTCGAACTCTAACCCTTGGTTTACTAGTGCAGATGTCCTAACTCAACCACCAAGCCATACAAAGCTCTCCTTATGATAAAATATGGAAGTATTCTGCTGTTTTAGAGCCTGTTTCAAACAATTCACAAGTTTGCCTTGGTGGGATTCGAACCCCCAACCTTTGGTTTACTAAGTGCAGATGTCCTAATCATTCAACCACCAAGCCATGTACAGCTCTCCTTATGATAAAATATGGAAGTATTCTGCTGTTTTAGAGCCTGTTTCAAACAATTCACAAGTTTGCCTTGGTGGGATTCGAACCCCCAACCTTTGGTTTACTAAGTGCAGATGTCCTAATCATTCAACCACCAAGCCATGTACAGCTCTCCTTATGATAAAATATGGAGGTATTCTGCTGTTTTAGAGCCTGTTTCAAACAATTCACAAGCTTGCCTTGGTGGGATTCGTACCCCCAACCTTTGGTTTACTAGTGCAGATGTCCTAATCACTCAACCACCCAGCTATACACAGCTCTCCTTATGATAAAATATGAAAGTATTCTGCTTTTTTATAGCTTCTGTGAACAAAAATTCACAAGCTTGCTTTGGTGGGACTCGAACCCACAACCTTTGGTTTACTACTGCAGATGTCTGAATCACTTAACCACCAAGCCATACAGAGCTCTTAAGATAAAATATGGAAGTATTCTGCTGTTTTAGAGCTTCTGTGAAACAGTTCACTAGCTTCCCTTGGTGAGACTCAAACCCACAACCTTTACTTTACTGGTGCAGATGTCCTAATCACTCAACCACCAAGCCATATACAGCTCTCCTTATGATAAAATATGGAAGTATTCTGCTGTTTTGGAGCTTGTTTCAAACAATTCACAAGCTTGCCTTGCTGGGATTCGAACCCCCAACCTTTGGTTTACTAGTGCAGATGTCCTAATCACTCAACCACCAAGCCATACAAAGCTCTCCTTATGATAAAACATGGAGGTATTCTGCTGTTTTAGAGCTTGTTTTAAACAATTCACAAGCTTGCCTTGGTGGGATTCGAACTCTAACCTTTGGTTTACTAGTGCAGATGTCCTAATCACTCAACTACCAAGCCATACAAAGCTCTCCTTATGATAAAATATGAAAGTATTCTGCTGTTTTAGAGCTTCTGTGAAACAGTTCACTAGCTTCCCTTGGTGAGACTCAAACCCACAACCTTTGGTTTACTAGAGCAGATGTCCTAATCACTCAACCACCAAGCTATACACAGCTCTCCGTATAATGAAATATGAACGCATATTCTACTGTTTGTTAGAGCTTGTTTGAAACAAGCTTGCCTTGGTTGGGACATGAACCCGAAAACTTTTGTTTACTAGTGCAGATGTCCTTATCACTAAACCACCAAGTCATACAGAGCTCTCCTTATGATAAAAATGAGCTTCTGTGAAAAAAAATCACAAGCTTGCTTTGTGGGACTCGAACCCACAACCTTTTGTTTACTAGTGCAGATGTCTTAACCACTCAACCACCAAGCCATATAAAGCTACTGTGATGCAAGTATCCTGCAAAGAAAATAGCTGTTATTTGGATGTTTTTACTGGTCCTTCAGGACAAAGAAAACTGTTGGACCGTCCACCAGACTACTACTGTGTGCCCGATACCCTCACTAAACAGTTCTACTACCACTCACTCTCCACCGTAAACCTTTTTGACAAGCGAGGGCGCTATTACACAGAGCAGATGCGCGAGGCAACTTCTTCAAATCAATTATTCTGGCTTATAGAATTTCTTTCACAATGATGTTTCTTTATTAGAATTTGATTTCGCTTTTGTTTTTTCTTCTCTCCGAGATAAAGAACACAGCATCAAATTTTGTTAATACCAGAAATTGGTGTATTTTGTTAGCTGTTAAAATTGAATTGAGTAAAACAATTTGCTCGAAACTAAATTTGAAAAGCTGCTGAAAGCAACACATGAATCAACATATGAACCAACAAAAAGTTAAAGATGAATCTCCTTTCATAAAAAGTTGTGAAGTACATGTACGTGCAATCAATGCAAACAATTTTCCTCCCAAATTTAGAGATGGCAAATATAAACATGTTATTCATTTCAATATGGACGCAAAAGCCAACAGAAATCAGCAAAGCCCACATTTCATGAGATTTTCAGGCAACCCATACATGCAGAATCGCGCCTCGCATTGAATGCCAAAGCTTCGTTAAAAACTCAAAATCAAAAAAATTCTAACATATTTTGTTCACGTGCACATGATGTATTAACAACAACAAAAAAACTTTGATATTAATCAAAAATATACAAATGAAATGGTGCGTGTCGTTTAGCATTCCCTCGCTTGCCAAAGTGGTTTAAGCCATTTTTTTCAACTTGACCCTTGATGCTTTAACCTTTAACCCCAATGAGGACAGACACAATAAGACGACCGGTGATGGTAGGGCTTTAGTAGTAAATCTGGGGCCAATTTCACAGAACTGCTAAGGCACAGAAAATATTTGCTTAGCAAAAGCGGATTACCAGCCAAAATGTCATTCGATATACGCTACTTCTAACTGGTTCCCACCTGATTTTCGCTTAGTACAGATATTTTGCTTAGCACAGAAAATATTCGCTTAGCAAAAGCGTGTTACCAGCCAAAATGTCATGTGATGTACACTATTTCTAACTGGTTTCAACCCGAGTTTTGCTTAGCACAGAAATTTTGCCCAGCGCAGAAAATGTGTGCTTAGTAAAAGTGGGTCACCAGCCACAATACAATGCAGTGTACATTACTTCTAACTGGTTCCCACCTGATTTTCGTTCAGTATAGAAATTTGCATAGCAATAGCAGGTTACCAGCCAAAATGTCATGTGCTATACACTGCTTTTAGCTGGTTCCAACCTGATTTTCACTTAGCAGCCTGATTTTCGCTTAGCAACTTACTAAGCAATTGTTTTCTGTTTAGTGGCTCTGTGAAATGAGGCTTAATGTGACTTACCCCACACAGCAGGCAAGCTGTGTGCATACACCAGGGTATGGCTATGGATATGGCTTCCGCTAGCTGCTGGGCCATAGATAGGACATTGTGTTACGATGGCATTACAACTTCTGATTTCATAGTAGTTCCTATAACGTCCAAAAACCATCCTTCCTGTTACTTCCTGTAGAACAGCCCCCCCCCCCCCCCACAAACTACCCTGCCTGTCACTCCCTGTACCATCCCAAACTATACCCCAGTTCTCTATGGTTTCTATGGATTCCTTAAGAAGTAAAGAAATACATGTACAATCAACTACAATGTTCTAATGGGTTAACCATATTGCTACATGTACAAACAAACAAATCTAAGGAAAAAACCTTGCATCCTGACGCCACCATACATCAGTCAGTCATTGCAAAAATGAAGAAAAGACATGAATTACCTGGGACTGAGAAACATTTCCAATTTTGTTAGAAAATACTTTGACTCTCCACAGATTTGTGTACACAACCAAAGTGGCGTCTGGATACAACATTCTTTCCAAATCTAACAATACGTTAAGACTTAGTTTTCTTTGCTTACGACATCTCACAACAATCGTCAGTGTTACATATTTTTTACGGGGAACTCAAGTGTGCATGCATTACCACTTTTAAGGTTGTACAGTCACACGCAAAAATGTCAAAGTGACGAATTGAGTGTGGTACATGTTGGTGAAGCGAGATTTGTCACTTCATATAAACATTGACAACAAGAAGGTTATAAATACATGAACTTATGATATTAAATATCACAGGCCTCACAGTGCCCCTCCTCATTAATGAAGGTTTTTAAATAGGTTTTGAAAATCAAAATATACTTTTTTAAAGTTTTTTTACCAAGTGCCAAAAATATAAGCATTTACAGGTTTTATGGTTGCAGAACTGTGCAATTGTTCAGCATGGGGTAGCGGATATACGGCCTAAAAAATTAGCCCTTGGTTCTTACTGTAGTGACAAACACACACACACATAACCCATACACAGTCAGTACACCCATTCTTGTTCCGTAATTATGGGGACTTACACTCGTCTGTGCAAGATATTTGTGGGGACCGAAAATGCTATGGGGACAGCAGAAAGTCCCCATTACTCGGTCCTAATTTGCCTAACAATAAAAAACTTCCCCATAATGCGGTGTATGCCTACCCACAATTACTTCTTACATAATGAAAACCCTATAGTATATTAAACATAGAGTGCTGTGGTCTGATGGTTACGGTGTTCGACGCATGTGCCATGGTACGTGGGTTCAAACTCTGACGGGGAACTTAGTGATTGTGTCCTTGGGCAAGACCCTTTACTACAATCGCCTCTCTCCACCCAGGAGTATGAATGGGTAGCAGTGAGGGTAGAGACCAAATTGCTCTGATCTCAAGCTGCCTGCAGGAAAAATGGTCTCGTGGCCTGATGAACAGCAGTAAATATGTGAAGTGCTTTCAGACCTACATAAGCATAATATATGCGCTATATAAGCACCACACATTATTATTAGATGTGGTATAGTTTAACTTAATATTGGTTAGTGCACTCCTAAGCATTTGTGTACAAATACCTGCTGGTAACAAACTGGAACTAGTGCCTGCTTCTTGTGTACCATCCTAGTCTGTATGGAGGCCATACAAAATACATTCCCTTGTACGACGTCCCACATATAGCAATACAGTCCAATTCTACCAGCTATTAAAAACAACAGCACTGGATGATATACATGTACGATTATTCAATATGCTATTGTTGTCCACGTGGCCAGTGGGACAATAAATTAGCATATTCTGGGACTATTCTGAAATGTATAGGTGTGCAGTATGTTGCATTTGCGGGCTAGCCAACAATGAATCATAATGATAATGAGGTGATGTTTATTTTGAACATAAAATTTAATTCATATGTGGGTGTCTTGTGTACAAGAGTTAATATTTTCTAGAAATATTTGTGTCCCCCTCATTGAGAATGGGATGAGCCTAATTTGCATAATCCATGGAACCATCTGTTTGCTTAATTATGCGAGGCAGACAAGCAAATCAAGCTGTGACATCATCGATTGTAATACAACTCAACAGGTGTCGCCGTTCCACACAGATATACATGTTTCTGTACTGATAACAGCTTTTGCTCGCACTTGAAGTGAAGAGAGCCCTCTATTGTTCAATGACAGTCGAACAGTCAGCAGTTATGAAAGATTTTCTTTTCACTATTAAAGGGAAAATACCACATTTGCAAACATCAAAAAATAAAACTACCAAATCATTTTTAAATACCTTGCTGGACTGTTAGTGAATGACAGCGTAAAGCATCCTGTAAAATCATGGCACCTGGTATACTGTCATTTTCAAGAAAAGTGGTATTTTTGTATCAATTTCCAACGCTGATCGGCCGATCAGCGTTGGAAAAAACTGGCTTTTTTTCAAATACTGGCCCCAGTTGACCATCGCACTTGTTTGCAATCGATTACACACCTACAATGTATGAACGGGTACAAGCCAGCTAGACTGGTTCCCTGACCTTACAATTCCCCAATGTATGTAAACTGCTCTGTTTCTTCTTATATGGAGTAAGGGAACCAGATTACAGGAAAATGATTGTTTTTCTTGGTTTTTATAGCATTTTCGAACCCAAAACCTAAAAAAAGTCAGTGTAACTATATTTGCTATATATATTTCCAACCCCCCAATTCCATCCATTTCTGAAAAATACAGCAAAAGCAAATGATGTATATTCCCTTTAAAGACTTTAAAAACATAAAATACTCTGATAAAACAATTACCGGTAATATGCACTGCACTAGCTCAACTTTTTTTCCTTTTTAATATGCTATCTGAGCCACGCCAGATATAACCAGTACAAAAAGTCTGCATACTCCATGTAATACGACGGTGAAGGACAAAACCTAATATTGAAGTTCAGTTCTTGGCACACAGCTTTTGAGGGCATGAAGAAACTTTTAGTCTGTGCACATCATTTTCCTAAATGATGAAATACTGAACTGAAAATACATTACATATAGGCACGCCTGTAACACAAAAATGGAATTGAGGTGAAGAAAATTTTGCCCACCACGAAAGCATTATCTTACCACCACCACTTAAGAAACCCAACAATAACAGTCCCCTTTTCAATTAGTAACTTTACTTTTGTATGTGAAAACTCCGCTGTCAATTTCTTTTTTAAAGTGAAAAGAATCCAAAAAATACCCTTCCAGAACCTTCAAAAGCCACCACAAGTTAGGGTAGAAAAGAATACGTCATAGATTTCCTACAAAGTAGAGGATTTTGCAGGATTCAGGAAGATTCTTGACTAAAAATGCTGAGAGAGTTAGGTTAGGGTAGAGGTAAGCTTACACCATTTCAAGTGATTCCGCCTGTTACGGTAATAATAAAAGATCATTACAGGATAATTCTAATAAAATAAAATATATATTGCTAATATACCGGTACATGAATATTCATTAACACTATATTGCTTGCTGGAGCCGTAAGGAATGAAATAATTGGTTCAAAATTATCAAAAAATATATAACTCTCAAGGAGTTGTATGAAGTTAGAAAAACCGCAAAGAAGAGTCACAAACCTCTATCAGCTTGTCCACGTCTTCCATTTCTCCAGGTAGGTCTGAGAGAGCGTTGAAAATCTGGGCGGAGTTCTCCAGCTTGAGAAGGTCCTCGTCCTGAGAAAGTTGATTACAAAAATAACAATTAAGCTGCTTTAAAATAAATGCAAATTTATGCAAAGCAAATTTGACTTCAAGAAGCTTTAGTGGTTAGTGGTTAAATTGGCTTAAGTCGAAATGTGTTCATGCTCTGTGAATTTGAAAAACAAATTTGTGAGGCGTTCTTGGCAAAATGAGACAGATCTGGGCACAGGCCGTAGTGGAGAAGTATGCACAAAACCCAACGGGGTGAATTTGTATTCAAATTTCAGATTTATTGATATATGTAATCTATGATATGTCTACTACACATATTTTAATGAAATAGTACAAAAATTGTGAAATGATAGTGTTTTTAAGGAAAAACAATTGGCATCTTTCATTTTCATGAACACAAAACTCAAAACTTTAAAGGTCTTTTTCTCTGTATATAACTTTTGTTGACGTGTCGATAAATGCAAACTTTAAACAGCCATAACTTTTCAACGGTGTGTCCAATTGAAGTGCAACAAACAGTATTGTAAGGACAATTATAGTCTCTTTCCTAATACCCGCACACCCCATTTCCAACTCTGCCCAGTTCTGTCTCATTTTGCCAGAATGCCTCGCATTTTTGCTGCGACTTCCAAATTGTGCTGGGGAAGTATGTCCAAGATAGCATTCAAATGAGGTCATGCAAGCTTTGAAAAATTAAACGGTAATCCCTGTTTTTTAAATACATATAAATGAGAAAATTCTCTTTAGATAGTGTTGCCCAGCATCTCTTTATCAGACCAACGTATTGTATGTCAACTTAAGGGTTTGGTAAAAGCTGTTACTGGTTTCTTACAAACTTTCTTCCTGCTTTTTCTGTTTGGATTTGGGGGATAGCGATATTAAAACGATCTGATAACGGACCTTGAGTTTAAACATGGCCAGGGTGACTTGGAAGAGAATGATGGAGCCCTCGTAGAAGAACATGTCCCAGATCCGCAGCAGCACCCTGATGTGAACCACGCTGGCGAACACCGTCAGGAACCAGTGAAGGGTGATCAGGGATAGCTCTATAGTTAACGAATTATTAAAAAAGACGTGGTGAGTACAAAAAAAAATTACAATTGCTTCAATCAAATGACTGTTAATTTTTTTTTAAGCGTGGAGCTTCCTAACTTATAAAACTTGGCCCTGACACAATATAAAAAAGTTATGAGGGGAAAAAACCTACTACTGTAACACTAGTAAGTTCAAAGGAAACAAAATATTTATGTGAAACCTTATGAAATTAAACTTGGTAAACAAATTGAAGGTAGAAATATTGTTATTTCTTTTGAAGGGAATGTACATCATTGGCTTTTGCTGTAATTTTCAGAAATGAACTATTTGAGGGGTTAGTATAATAGATCAAATATTGTTTAACTGACATGATTGAAGTTTTGTGTTTCGAAAATGCTTGAAAAACCAAGAAAACAAAAAATGTTTAAGTAGTCTGGTTCCCTGACTCCACTAAAGATAAAATGGATCAATTTATAGTTGTCGGAAAATTGTAAGGTAAGGGAACCAGTCTAGCTGGCCTGCACCCGTTCATGAACATGTAACCAATAGCAAACAAAATTTGGACTGAAAAAAAAAAATTCAAATTTGGAGCAGTAGTTGAAAAATAGTTAGGTTTTTCCAACGGTGGTCGGCCGACTACCGTTGGAAATGTATACAAAAATACAATTTTCTTGAAAATGACTTGACACCAGGTGCCATAATTTTACAGGATGCTTTAGACTGTCATTTACCAACATCCTAGTTAGGTATTTCGTAAAAACTTGGTAGTTGTATTTTTCGATGTTTGCAAATGTTTTATATTGCCTTTAAAGATGTTGGCGACTAGCAAAAAAGTAGTTCTCAATGACCTGCACTGTGAATTGGGAGACTATAAAGGCAATATCATACGGAGATATACGATATATCTGCAACCACAGATTTTGAACTATTTGTTACTTCCTTTATAACGACACAAACAGGCATTCTCATGATTCTAGAGGTGTGCGAAATGGAACCAATGTTGTGTAACTTACCTATATCATGGCTCTTCAGCTGCTGATCTAACTCTGGAAGGAAACTGACCATCAGCTGACGCAACACTCTCTGGTCAGCCTACAAAAAAAAACAAGACAATAGGAGTCATTCACAATGCAGGGCCCCAAAAGTGTCTGCCTTGAAAGGCCATACATATATACAATCAACATCCTCCGCGTACACTCGAAAAGTTTATCGTCCTTCACTGTTTATGTGAAATACCACACATACATTTCGAAAACTCAAAAAAGAAATTTGTGATTGATACCAATTTAGTATTGGTTTGAGATATGGTTTACCTGTACACCGAGCAGTGTGCTGGAGTAGTAAGAGGCCGGCACCAGATCCTCAATGATTGCGCACATGATCCAGAATGCCTCTTCCTCCTCCATAAAAAGTAGCAAGGATGCTACGATCTGAAAAAAAAATACGACAAAATGTATAAAAGAATAATGGGAAAACCTGACAGTTATATGGGCCGTGTTACCGTATTGATTCATTTTACATGGATTTGAACCCCGACAGGGAACTTGCGTTTATTTTATTTTATTTTGTGTTATTTTACCAGGGTAGCCCCATCATTTGTCAATGAACTGTTCTCCCTGGGGGCCCTGGGCAATGTGTTCTTGGGCAAGATGCTTTACTACAATTACCTCTCTCCACCCAGGAGTACAAATAAGTACCTGTGAGGGTTAGAGGCCAGATTGCACTAATCTTGAGCTGCGGAAGAAACTGGTCTCATGGCATGATTAACAGCAAATAACCGTCTCGAGACTTTGGAATAAAAGCGCTATAGGTCTTGTTCAAATGACGTCATTTCCTACAGACCATCCACGTGCATCGGCATTTTGAGCGTCACCTTGCATAATGCGCATCGGCTGCGTCGTATTTCGAACACATTTCGAGCAACAAGCACGCGTGTTTGGAACATTCTCAACAGTGCGCAATGCATGCTTGATTGCGTAAAATATGCTGCTGCAGTTCTCCTACAGAGATGGCCGTCATTGAGCGAGCCCTATATAAGCATCACATTATTACTGCCAACTTGGAAAAAATTTAAAAAAAATTAAAATCTTACAACTCCTGTTCCTTGGCAATAGCCAATGTCAGGGTAGAGCCAGGCTATGCCTCGGAGAACGCGCCGCAGACGGGACACACCGGTGCTCTTACTGGAGGAGAAACAGGCATTGCTGGGCATAGTGCGCAGAAGATCCTGAGGGAGATAATAGAAAAGAAAGGCATAACCACCGAGTTCGATTACTTCCCTCGCCTTACCCACACTTTCGTCTTGTGTATAAATGCACATGTGCAATCTGTAGCAATAAACCAAAGATCTTTGGCCACTTGAGGTCGAGACATAGCAACCGGACCGGGTCAAGTGGCCACTGTACGTGCTCTTCCAAAGAGAACAAGAAATGCCGGGTATATGTTTAAAATTAACTTAACTTTTCTCCCGTGGTCTAGGAATGGTGTGAAGTGAAGCTGAGACACTTTTGAATCCCCCGCCGTTGGGTTAGACTTAGCTGCCATGTTTTCGCATTGTATTGTGGGATACCGACCCAATTAAGTAACCGACTCAGCAGATCGGTTACTACGGCCAGGCTTGAGTAAGCGTGAGAAGTCATGTGAGAGATAAATTGAACGCAGTTTCGCTTGCACGAGTAAGCGCGGGGAGGTAATCTAACACGAACATATACACCTATCGACTGGCAATGAGGGCACTAGTGCACGTCTATGCGCTGAGTGACCACTAGAGGGCCCTATTTCTCCAAGGCCAAAGGTCAAGGGAAATAGGGCCCTTTAGTGGTCAGAAACAGGGAGTAACTTTAATGTCCTTACCTTTTCAATCTGTTTGGCCGTCAGCGAGTGATCATTTGTGCTGGCTTTGATAATTTCCTGCGCAACAGAAACAAATGAAAGCATGTTTAACTACACACAGCAATTTGACAAGTCACAGCATATATTCTTATACTTGAAATCCTCCGCACTGCTCCAGGATGTCGCTGGCTCTGCCTCAACATATTGACAGTGATTGCTGAGGATTTTGCAGGATTGAGGCAGTGGTCACCCCTCCAACATGTCCAAGGACCACATACAAGAAACAACGGATGATTTTGGAGGATCGAGTCTGTATGCATGCTTATGCTTATGGAGGCGGTTGGAGGATTTTGCAGGATTGAGGTTGCATCCTAGCAAAAAGTGAAGTTAAAAGTTGGAGTTAATGTACATAACATATTTCAAATTTCTAGTTACATGTGCCTACATACCTACATAATTAGTTATTAGCTGTTTCAGGTAGTTTTTGTTCTAACCAAAATCCCATAGACTTTTGTATACGATTTTTATGGCCTGGACATTTTGTCACTTCTAAAGCTTAAATCTTAAATCCAAAACATGGTGTAGACGTGTCACCTTGTAAGACGTTTCGCTGTTCTCCTTCTTCTGCTGGGCCCCAGACAGTCTCATCCACAGGTTGGGGCGCATACTGTGGGGGATCCCCTCGCGCACCAGGTGACGCAACTTCTCTGTGTGGGGTAGTCTGCTTTCAAGCTGCAAGAAAGACAAACAAAACCCATTTTCAAAAAATGTTGATTCAGTATTGTTTTCTCATCACAAATTAGATGTACTGGGAGTGATATGTACAAATGGTATAAAAATTAGATTCTTTTTGAGATGCGAGTAATTCAAACTGCAATGCTGTTTGATGCATTTCTTTTCTATGAGACTTGAAGGTATATACAGGTATAGGATTTAATATTTTCTTTTTCAGTATTTTCTTTCATTTTTTCCTTTGAAGCAACAAATTTGGTCAAAATCTTAAGAAGGGTGCATAACAACTAACTTGTTGAAGTTTCAGTTCAGTGGATAAGGTACATTTTTGAGAAAATGTATGCACAATGTTAGGGGTCTGGTACATGTAACAGGATTCTGCTGCTTACGCACATGCAAAACTGTGCCAGCTGACACACTTCTTAAACCACCTTCAATTATTGTTTTCTTCCAAATGATACCATTTTAGACAAAATAGTTTCACAGGGTATTTGGTACATGTACCAGTCGTATCTTCACTTCCAGCAAGAATTTTCTCGTTATGTACGTTTTCAGGTAATTACAAAGCTTTCTACATGTACGTGCCTTTAACAAGGTGAACAGTTCAATTAATTTTCACAAATTGCACAGGCTAAGGTTATTCCAGCAATTACGATTTGAGACTTGGCTGCATAAAGAAATGAACAGGATACTTGTTACAATTACAATGCTAGAAATGCCTCTTACATGTACATGTAAGGTACTTAATATCATATCATATCATATCATTTTATACAGGGCCCTCAGTAATAGCAGTTTTTAACTGATGAGGCTACCCTGTCTAAATACAACTATCAATAAATAAAATAAATACTTGTTTCCCTTTTTTTTTTTTGGCTGTTAGCCTGGGAACTGGCACTTATTCAATGAAAAAAATAATTGTATGCAATTTTGAAGGGGAAAAAGTCATTGGATTTTTTTTTCACTCAACACTATGCACATGTTAAAGGAATCAGGTCGTATAAATTTAAGATTAAATTCAATTGAATTTAAGTAACATTTATTGATAAAAAATCCTGCAATTTATGGTTTAAGTGAGATATAAAATTATAACTACATTGTATAACAACTAGTGCATTCCAAAACTTTCAATTAATAAAACCATTAACTAAACAACGACATTGACAAAAACACTGAAATTCTACGCATGAATACTGTCAACTACATGTATGCACTTGTCGTCAAATTCATCACCGAATGACTTTGCTGTTTATCACTCCCACAGACCCCAAAATTAAACACCACAAGCACCAGTAAGTGTGCCGATTATGGCTTTGAGGCAGGATTGGATGAAAACAGGTGCTCGACAGTGAGAGAGATTATTGATTGGGAAAAGAAGACAGAAGACTAGACAAACAGCTGAGGGCAAGACACAACCCACAATCACACAATCTCTGAAGAAAAAAAAAAACCCTTCAGATATGTACCAGTAAAAATCATCGTATGCACTTGCTGATGTCGAGATGTGTGAGCATGAATTTTAACGATGTGAAATGTCAAATGTTTGGCACAGGCAGATCCGGGCTGTGCTTTTTCGTAATAATTTTGTATTTGATTATTCCAACTTGGACAGTTGGACTTGATCGAGTATTCAAATATTTGATCAAGATTTGTGCGTGAAAAATTAATGAAGAGGTTACTGTAACAACAATAAAGAAGAGATAGCGGAATTGATGATATTCAACTGATATTTTAAAGAAATTTGAGCTGATATTCCTTATGGAAGCTCTGAAATCATTGCGTTTGACAGACGTGTTGAATTTGAGAAACAGTAAAACCATGCAATATACGATTAGGCCCAAAAAAAATAGTTCTGCTTCCGGTTTCCCTACCTACCCTTTTCTGACAGCCCCTACCCTAATTGTTTTATTGGAAAAATGAGAAAAAAATACCCAAAACCATCAATTTCTACCTTTTACCCTAGACTACATGCAGACACCTCCATATGATCGTACACAATAAAAACTTCAAAAAAAAAAAAAAAAAAATTCCATACCTACGGTACCTACCCTATTTTCAAATGCCATGTAATCGGAAGCAGAACTACTTTTTTTTGGGGGGGGGGCCTTAAAATTACATCACAGACCTTTTTCATCATCTCCTGGAGTATTTGAATTTGAAAAAAAAATTGCTTTTAGGATATTCGGTTGATGATCAAGTAATCATATATTTGGTACACATTGAATATATGCACAGCCTTAAATCTTTATGTAGGCATGCATGAAACTGTGACAGCCATTTGCATTTGACAGCCGTTTGCATATATGTGCATTAAAGCCCGAGTCCATCATTTGCAGCTATCCAAAAAAGTAACTGGCGTAATTATTGTTGAAAAACATACTGGTTGAAAGATAGTAAGGGGACTAAACTCCCTGTGAAATTATCCTTTCTGGCAAGCTCTCATTTTGAAGAAATCAACGAAAGAAGGCATTTCCAACGGTGCGTCTTAAGAAGCACCGTAGGAAAATTTAAATTAGTAGTTTGTTTTGTTATTTGGCGCAGCGCGCACAAGCATTGGAACGACGCACAGGCGCGCGCGGTTGCTATAATTCGTCGGATCAGAGCGCGACATCGCGTAAAGCTGCAATTCAAAACAATTCAAAAACATGATTTAGCAACTTTTGATTTGAAATTGAGATCCTAGAATGCTATTTTTCTCGGAATATAGGCCTACAGCTGAAGCTGAGCTGAAACTTCATCAAGTAAGTTGTTCAGTATCCTTCATTAGATTTTGAACACTTTTGTTGCTTCAAACGAACAAAATGCACTAATTAAAAATGATGGACTATAGCTTTAAACTTATAAATAAATAAATGAAATTAAATCAACAAACAACTCAATAAATTAATTAATGAAATGAAATTAAAATTATTTAAAATATTTTTGCATAAGAAAAAATCAGGTTAAAATTTAATTAGGCTCATAGTCATAATAAATGGTTTTACTTCACTGTACATGCTCCCACTCTCAAATATTTAGTCTGGAATTTTGGTTTTGGTTTTGGTTTAAAACTGCACCCGGATAGAGATGTATTAGCTTTGCAACAAAGATGACTTTTATGCAGCAATTTGTCAATAGATTACTGTGTTAACGTGGGCTACACTGAAAAGTCAGGATTCTTTCAACACAAATGCAAATAACACAGGAAACAGCTGTTGTTTTAAAGGACGCTTAAAACCCATCAGAATGAAATATGTGTGTGTTGGTTATCAGTTATTGTGCATGGTGGATTAAGGGAGCAAAGCTCACAGTTACGACTGAGTCAATTTGTGCATAATCACAGCATTTAAATGTCAAATAAATTTTTTTTTTTTTTTAAATGATGGATTTTGCCCAATACACAGCTATCTGTAATTTATACCACTGAAATACGGTTCAGAACTATAATAAATAAAAAAAAATAAAAATTGCAGGAAAAATTAGTAAAAAAATAAAGTTGCCCATGAAGGATGATGAAGAATGACCATAGAGCTACCTGTATATTAAATTACTAGAGCGCTGACTCGATGTACTGGGCCCAACCATGTTTGTACTCAATCCTATGGAATACTCGAAATTTGGTACGCATTTTGTACAGCTATTTGTATATCTGCGTTTGTATTCCATACAGGTGCGTTATCGAAGCCAATTCGCCCAAAACTGAAATGCACAATCAGAAAATGAGCGTTTCATTTTGCTCTGCGCGAACAATGCAAACACATGCGCATATCCGCTGCAGATGATTTTTGCCATGACGTTTTTTAACTGTCATGACACGCTTCAGTTGTTTGCATATACTTGCGCGTTGCATTTTAGGTACACTTTCAAAATTCACTCCATCTAATTTCATTATCTTTTACAAACACGCACATGAATTCAAAATGTCTGCGCTCAGGAAGGATCCAAAGTATCTCTGCACGTAAGAATGAGGAGTCAGCGCTCTAGTAATTTAATGTAGCTCTATGAGTATGACTGAAAATGATATTAGCTTGAGAAAGAAAGAAACATACATGTACATGTATGTAAATGCTTTAAAATTTGATTAAAATACTACAGCAGAAAAAAAAACTAATATCATGACTTCAATTCATCTTCTACTTCCTGATGATGAACAGCATCGTGAAATTGAATGCACTGGATTATTTTATACAAATTGATTCTCAGATAAAATCGTAGACGATTTTCATGCCTTATCAACTGTTGTCATATATTCAACCATTCCATAAATACTCAGACCATTTAAGCTCTGTTATCAGTAACTGTATACTTGTATGCAAATAACCCCAATGTATTTGACAATCCTTTCTGTACACAGGAAGGCCCTTTTGACGTCAAACAGAATGACGGCGTTCATCCCCAACAACGAGCCCTTTGAAAGGATTTACTGCTTATCGTTGCACGGCAAGAATGAACAAAAAAATAATCGTGCTGGCCGACCAACTACGTCAAATGGCAAAGATCAAAGCCCTGATTGCCAGCAACACATTGCGACCTACCGGTAAAAAACAATTTGTCGTACTGCAACTGCCAGTGTACATGTGTGTAAGGACACAATACTGGCAACCAAAAGTGGGACATTAGACTGTTAGATATCTGAAGCAAGATGAAAGCTGCATGCTGTTACTTTTCTCTTAAATTGTTGGGAGAAACATCATTAAGTGGAAAACAACATTGAAAAACTAAATATTCCCATTCATCAATACCTTCCGGTCATAAGGTCAAAACAAGTCAAAATTTCACAAATTTCCAACAATTTTATTTAACAATTTCACTTGATGTCTTGTGAAGCACCTCTCTGGCCATGTCTGTGGTATGTGCCTCGTGCGCAAAAGTCTCCTCGTATGGAAATTGGCGCAATCGGGGTGCATACTGTGCGATGGGGTGCATACTGTGCGATGTGGCGCAGAACGCAGCGGTGTTTTACCAGAGTTTTAAAACCATCAACGTGACGGGCTCTCAACCAATAGGAATTGGTAAACTATCGCAGGTACTTACAAATCCCTGATAAATTGGTTGTACACGTACCTTATCCCATGTGAGATTGCCTACGTCCTGATTGTGGGCAAATTCAAAGTAGGCCGTCCACTTCAATCGGTGCTGAGGGTCCTCAATGAAGGGTTGACTCAGTAGCTTACTTGAGTTGGGCTCTGCTCCGTCTAAATAAAAACAAAATAAGCAGAGAAATGCAGTCACATGCAACTGTAGTTCTGGAGTGGTATTCATAAACGGACACTTGTAAAAGGGGTTGCATTTTAATCCTTAAACCATCACCTTTTCTCTCTGACGCAGCAATTCTATAAATTATAAAAAATTCTAGGGTCCAAAGTGTGACATTTTCCTGTCCCTGTTACCTTGGTACTTTTGTAATTTGCCATTCAAGTTTCATTAAGAATGACTTCAAACAATTGTTTATTTGTTGGGTATTGTTTAGTTTGCTATTCATAATCACTCTTGGAGGATGACTGCATTAAAGAGTGCATCAGAATTATGAAATCATAGATCTATGTCAGATGTAACAGGGACGGGAAAAAAAGTGGACCCAGATTTATAGAATGACCCACATGTAAAATGTGTTTTATTTGTGGGTTTTTTTTTACCATTGAACTTTGCATCTATTATAATTTGAGTCAGAGTTGTTTGATTCAAATTATTTGATTGAAATCATTGATTGAAACCATGATTTAAATCAGTGGAAAATCAAAAGTCATGTAAAAGTTTTTTAAAAATCACATGATGCGCTTGTATCACCCTGACCACATAATCTGTCTCCAATTCTTTCAAAACAACTTAAAAATACTTTTAAATATTTGGATTTCACAGGTATGTTACCTTCTTCATCCACTCTGAAACCAAACTCATCATATCGAAAATCCATCTGGGCTCCGGAATCTTCAGTCTGGGGGAAAAACAGCCAAAAAATACTCATTTTAAAAAAAATCTAATTGCATAGTTTTTGGTGCAAAATTTCAAATGGTATTATTGCATATGACTGAAGACTATGAATCTGTAATATAAGGGAATGCATGTGTGCTTCGGAGGTTTTATACACTACGTTTGTTTCTAAGAAATTTCTGGTCTGACCTGGGCAAGATTTGCCAGTATGTCCTGCGGCCACATGGAGGGGCAGAGGGCAGAGAAGGGTCCCCCTGGGGTGGGGGTAAAGCCCCCTGACCCCCGTCGCTGACGACTCAAACGTGAACACATCTCGTCATCCTCGTCTTCAGATAGGGTCTCAGCTGTAAAGAAAAACAAAAGTATTGATTTTTACAAACTTGTATGAGGAATTCACAATGTTAAGGTATTTTCAGTTCGCCTACCCCTGCTCAAATCAACATGGGTCTATCGTCTGTGGAACTGGGTCTGATCGAACGTAAAAGGCACATTACGTAGCCGTTTCACACTACAGCCTCTCAGCCTGGGTTGAACTCAACCCTGGGCAAACCCAGTGCAGCCCCAGGTTGAGTTTTTTATTGTTCAACCCTGCGTTTCACCCCCCGTGCCATTTCACGTTTCATGTTCTTGTTTCGTGGAAACCGAGCTTATTTCACTCGGTTACTACTGTTTTGAACCCTGGCGAGAGTTTCAACCTGGGTGAAAAATCTTGACACCCTGGACTGGAGCAGGGCTGAGTTCAACCCGGGGCGAAATCAATGTCAGCGTTGACCCAGGGTCGGCGAGGGGTTGAAAACCTTCAAGTGTGAAAGGCCGCATGTTTTTAACCCTGCGTCTACCCTGAGATTGGTCTGGTGTGAAAAGTCAGGGGCTTGAACATGGGTCAGCCATAGATATTTGGACTTTTTCCCCGGGGAGAGCCTCTAAACCCTGGTCTCAATCAGGGCTAAATTTTACTGTATACATAGAGCACTGGACTTGTGTAAAAGCCATTTGGATTCTTGTTAAGTGCGAAGGGGATTCCGGAGATTCTGAGGTACATCCCAGGTCAAACGCAGATATTTTTTATAGTGTGAAACGACCTTTCGTGTGATTTTTACAAGCTTGTGATGTTTTCCAAGATGGCATTTCAAAAAGCTGTGTGCACCATTACATTTCACCATGATGCGATCTTATGCCATTGTCGGTCCTATGTCAATTCAATATTAGTGTATAGTGAATTTTAGTTATTTTCCAAAAATTTCTAAATAACCTTCACCAATGTAGTTACAAGTGCGAAAAGGCTAATTTTGACTAATATGAAAGATGTTAGATAAAGCTAGAATTTTAAGGCAATTAACATTTCCAAAATTTTGCAGCAATATTTTCTGGTTAGTAGCTCCGTGAAATTAGGTCCTAAAGTTGATCTCAAACAAACAAATAACTGGATGGAATAAGTGAAATTATTCCAAGACTATTGGAGCCTCTAAAGTCTACATGTGGCATACCCTGTAAAATGTAATTTAAATAAAGCTCAACCTGAATATATGCATGCATGCAGCTCATCGAGCTCGTTGCCCGAGGTTAGGCTGGCCACCGTAAATGTGTAGATTTTTATCACGGATCACTTATTGGTGAAGGGTTTTTTTTTTTTTACGAGGGCAAATATGATCAGATGTGTGAAGAGCCTGCCGGTCGATTTCTCCTCCTAGTCAACACGGCCGGAAGCTGCCACGTCAGTGTGTCACTAAACTACATATTGACCCGACCAACTTTTGCAATGCATTTTAAAGATAAACTGCCCGTGAAAACAAAACAGAGTACGACAAAAAGACGTCTTCTTTGGGCTCCGTGCGCCAACAAAAGAGGCACGTTTTTACCACTTTTGAAAGTCCAGTGGTCGGGGCACACAGCGTGTGCGTACTGCATGTACTGTACTTCCTGAATGTGCCAAAGCTATTAGCCACAGCGTCTTCGCATGAGCGTCAGGCGTCATCGGCGCGCGAATACGTTCGAATTTAACTTGCGATGGTCTGATTGGTCTCCCAGACTAATCCCCGCCCCCAATAACTTTGGATCATTCGAAATACGCAGAGAATGGATTGGGAACCAGTCTAGGTCTCCCCGAACTCTCCTTTTCTGGCCGTTGAAGGGGTAGGCCTACTTGTGTGCAGAGCCCACACTGTTCTTTTCAACAAAAACTGGATCTGAGAGAATTCAGCCAGATTTCACTTGTATAAATATAAACCTCTGCAACCGAAATCCCCTTTTCATAACAAAACATGGCTCAATGAGTGATATTGTACTTACAACAAGGCAGGCATTTAGAAGGCAGAAAAACCATTTTGGCTGCGTGAAATGGCCGAACACCAGGCACGAAACAGAGAACTCTTTTTACTCTAGTTTGTCGTTGAAATTTGGGAAAATACAGTGCAGATTCAATGGAAGACCCTCCAATTTTGTTAAAAAAAAAAATATAGCCGACAGCTTATAAGTGTGCCTGCATCATGCATGGCTTCCATAATTCGCAGGTTTCAACAGCTTTCATAGTGTACATGTAGGTCAGGTTTTTCTATCTATTCTTTTCTTTGTGCATTACACATACACGTGTACATTGTGCTCGGAGCAACCTACCCCAAATAAATACATGACAGACCCCACGATATTTGAATATCAGTGCACATATTACACCTCACTGCATTTTAGTTCAGTACCAACTGCATTCCATCTGGCAAAAAAAAAAAAAGATTGTTCTGCGTGGCTAACCATCAAAAAGTTTCAGAAGTGGGTCATGTCACTCACCTACATGTAACAAGTATCTACAGGTACATGTTCATAAGGCATGCATGTACATGTACATAAGGCATGCATGTAAATGTACGGTACATGTACATGCGTACACCTGCCTTACACGTGTACATGAACATGTTCCGGTATCTACATGTAGGGCCTCTCACACATTAAGCTAGTTCGGTATTTCAAAATAGTCTGGTGTACAACAAGATTCAACAATTTTTTTTCGGGATGAACATCTGCGTTACACGTGTTCCGTACATGAACATGTACCGGTATCTAGGGCCTTTCACACAATAAGCTATAGTTCGGTATTTCAAAAAAACAACTGGTGCACAACAAGATTCGACGATTTTTTTTGGGATGAACGCGGCAGAAAAATGCACACAAGGCTATGGGGGACGTGGTAACTGAATTTTGTATTATTTTTTGCGCAATCGAAAAGAGATGGAAACTTTTGTTCCCACAAAAGATTGAACACACCATACATGTACACCTAAAAACCCTTAACTAACTGTTTTTTTTGTGCAAAAAAATGTTACTTCAAAATAAGATGATCTCTTTACTTTGCTGGTACCCTGCTATGCTTTTGCACGCATACGATGAAATGTTTATCCCGAAAGAAAAATCTTCAAATCTTGATCTACACATGTATGCACAGTTGGAATACCGATCTGGCTAAATTCAATATTCCTGTGTTGGAACCAGGTCAAACACAAATGTCTGGAACCTCTTTCACACTATAGCAAGAATCTAACAATGGTTCCTACACGGGTCCGTCGTCATACACAGGTAAAATCCAACCCTGGTTTAGAAGCTCTATCCGGGTACATGTAGAATTAGGGTTATGTGCATCGGAACCGTTATGTGCATCGGAATCGAACAACAGTTGGCTTTAATTGCAATCAAAATGCTCACATACAATGTTTTATGACTGCATTGTATCTATTAAAGTATAAGTTCAGGTCTTCACGAATATGGTTTAACTAAAACAAAATAATGATGTACTTCTATATTGACGCACAATTCTCCCGAGTGTAACAAAAGGGGGATCCAAGAAAGTGATTTGGGGAATTTTTATTTGCTGGGCCAACACGGTCAGAAATATTAGCATTACCTAAAACAGATACATGCAAATCTTTAGCACTTATCAGGGAGACATACACAACCAACCAGATTGATCATCAGTTAGAAAAAAAGGTAACAGCAAAATTTAAAACAGATTTATCTGGAAAATGCAAAAGTCTATGGGCCTTGAAGAGCCTTGACTCAAAATTGCAAGGCACTGTTCCCTCAAGGCCAAGGCTTTTGCCCTCAAGCCTCGAGGCCAAGGCCCGAAAGTCCAGCCTTAAGGCCAAGGCCCAGCATCAAGGCACTACATCACTGTCAGCTGACCTTCCTGAAACACGTGTTTCATTGGAAATTTTCATTTCGGTAAAATGTGCTGGTAGGAAGGTAAGGACAAAGTACAAGTGAATTAATATTAGTCTTCTCCTATACTCAATAAATTTCTCTGTTTCATTCAATGTAAATTGTATATTCCAAAACGATTGAATTTTCAATTAATCCACAAGGGGCAACCGCCTACATGCATTTAAAGTTGTAGTCCATCATTTGCAGCCATCCGAAAAAGTAACTGGCATATTATTGTTGAAAAACATACTTGGTTGAAAGATAGTAAGTGGACTAAATTCCCTGTGAAATTAATCTTTCTGGCAAGCTATCATTTTGAAGTAATCAATGAAAGAAGGCCTTTCCAACGCACCGTAGGAAAATTTAAATTAGTAGTTCGTTTTGTTATTCGGCGCAGCGCGCTTAAGCATTGGCACGACGCACAGGCGCACGCGGTTGCTATAATTCGTCGGATCAGTGCGTGACATCGCGTATAGCTGCAATTCAGAACAATTCAAAACATGATTTAGCAACTTTTGATTTGAAATTGAGATCCTAGAATGCTGTTTTTCTCGGAATATACAGCTGAAGCTGAGCTGAAACTTCATCAGGTTAGTTGTTCAGTATCCTTCATAAGATTTTGAACACTTTTGTTGCTTCAAACGAACAAAATGCACAAATTACAAATGATGGCGTGACAATCTGGAAGATATGTACATGTAGGTTTTATCCCTGCTCTAGTCAACTGTTCAACTAAAAAAAAAAAAAGAGTTACATGTAAGACAAGAAACGAATTTAGTTTCAAGAGATTTTTCTATCAATCAAAATTGGTTTTGTACTTCGAAATTTAAAGACAAATTTTAAAAAATTCAAAGAACAATCTTGCTAACAATGTACAGAGGTTTTTTTCATGAAGTCTGTTTCATACTGCAGTGCACATAACACTGTACTCAACAAACGGCTCCATATGTTCAGCAGTCAAAATAGCTTTTTAATATCCACGGCCTGAGCAATGCAATGTACAACGCCAGCACAGCGTTCAAAGACGAGAAGGGGTTTCCTGAAAACAGAGACAGTGGTCTGTGGTGTTGACGTCATGCGGAGGCGACGCATACGTATTTGTGCGTTAAGCCTCGTGTCGTTGTCCTTATTATTACTGTCTTCTTCTCAGACAAATTAG